AATTTTTGTAGAAGAAAGAATATGGGCCTAGGATTCCATAGATGTGTGTGTAATTCTAGCTTTATCACTTTCTATTTAGTGTTGGTCTAGTTACTTTAGTTCTCTGAGCAACCATATTTTGTCTGTAAAACAGATAATGTCTATTTCAGAACAGTTAAAGTGAAGTATCTGTAATGTACTTACCATTAATTATAATATGCTGTAGGTATTCAATAAATATAGATTTGTTGAACAAATACTGAAAATGAGAGGAATTCTTTGAGAAGGACAAATACTTCCAAACTGGCTCTTAGGGCAACTAAAGTATTTCAGCACTTTTATGCTAACACTCTAGAGTTGAAATTCTGAAAAGAAATACATTTCTGGTAAGGGTGGCAGCACTGTAAATAATTCTTTATCAATCTAGAATTCTCTATTCCATCAACCCACAGGTATCGACATCCCAGCATGTATTAGAGAGCCACACTACTTTTTTAAAAGTGGTATCTTTTACATTAGGTAATAATTTCAAACCCTTATCAAGTGGAGACCATCCAAATGCCACCTAAAAAATACTTCAAGATTTTGGCGAATTTTCCTTAAAGTAATGTGTGAAAACTTGACACAGGCCTACAAGGAAAGGACAGTAACAGGGAACATTTGTGTCCGTCACTGTGTCATGTCTCCTATACGTAATCCTTCGTTTATTTCTCAAAGCAATCCACTGAGGATAGTCCAGTTATTCTTCCCATGTTACAAACAGGCACTGAGGCTTGGAGAGGTTAAGCAGTTTGCCCAAAGCCAAACAGCTTCAAAGAAGTAGACTCTGGATTCAAACCTAGCCTGTCTAACTATAGTTCTCCCTACCTCTCTACTAACTTTACCTCGAGAACTACAATAAATACTACAAAAAAGACATTCTTAGAAGACCAATCATCTGGAATTTGAGTTTACTTGATCAATAAACTATAATTTTGCTGATTTTATTACTATATAAGAAACTTTCACATTCACAAAGCACTTTAGGATTTAACAAAGTATTGGTACAAATCTCATTTGGTTATAACAACCTTGTAATGTAGACAGAATAGGTATTATGTGTAATTTAGAGATGAGAAACATGAGACTCAGAGTGGATAGGTGATTTGTTCCCAGCCTACATTTCCACTAAGCTCTGTATTCCTATGCAATGCCACCATACCACACTGCCACTCTTCAAAGTGAAATCCTTACAGCCTCTCTGGAGTCCAGAGGTGGTGCAACAGTTAACAAATTTTGCTCCTCAACAAAAGGTTGGAGGTTTGAGTTCTCCCACAGACACCTTGGAATAAAAGCCTGGATATCGACTTCTGAAAAATCAGCTGTTGAAAACCCCTATGGAGCACAGTTCTACTCTAACACACATGGGATTGTCATGAGTAGAGTCAATTCTAAGGCAAGTGCTTTTTTTGTTTTTGTTTTTTGCCCGAGGAATAACCATAATCTGTGTAACAAGTCAACCCTAATTTTTCATATTACATATGTCAGGCTCTTGATTATCAATCCAGAGGTAGATGACAGAATCTTTATCAGATGAAGGAACTGAGGTTTAGAAAGTTCCTTAATATGTCCAAAGTAATATAGCTAAAAATAGCAGAGCCAAAATGCAAACTTAGGTTTGACTCCAAAATTTGCATACTTAACCACTACCCAGAACTAACTCTTATTCCAAACTCTGTGCCTACCTACCTGCATGAGTGATCCAGGTCCCAAAATTCCTTACTTGTGATGTATGAGCAAGATATTAGATAGCACCTAAAATCCCTTCCGGCTCTAACATTCTCTTATTAGATGACTCCAATGCAACACTCATCTAATGTCATCACTTCCTAGCATTCACTAAGCCAAGAGCCTGAAGACTTGAGTTTTCTCCCTACTCTACCTATCACCAGCTAGGTGACATTGGGCAAGGTGTTCAGCTGACTCCTCTTCAAAACAGGGCTGATGACTATGCACCTTTATAAAAGCAGGGGAAAGCCTGTGTTTTCCTGGGCACTCTTCTAGAGCTAAGACTTCTTAGTAAGACTGCTAACATTTTGTCTGAGGTGAATTTTCAGATCACAAATACATACATATTCATAACGCAAGATCAAATATAAGCTAAAGCAAAATAGCAACAAGTCATAAAATCCCTCCCTTCCATGTACTAAACTAAGTGAAAGTTAACAATAGTGGGTTACAGAAAAGAGAAACTGACAAAAATGTCCTGAAACAGTACTATCTGGTGGGATTGAGTATGAATTTCAAGAGTTCTCTAAAGACGAAAGTATTAGAGAGTCCTTCTACTTCCAAGTATGGCAAAGTCATAATTTTCATACAGAAGTAAAACTCAATTTATCAAAATGGACTGTCAACACTATAATCCTCGGTCATACAAACACAAAAAGAACTTTCAGTCTCTAATTGAAGCAACTCCAAAACAAAACAACACACACACACGCAGGCAAAAGAAGGAATTAAAACAATTTAACTTGAGAGGGGCAGAAAAGGGGTTAAATAAACTTGATTTCTCAGTTAAGACTAGATTGTAAATAGTTATCTTAAAAAAATAAAATGTATATAAACTATACTTCAATTTCACATAAACTTGTAAGAGGTGGTAAAAGAGATACTTATATGAGAAGACTTAATAAAAAACGGGGGGAGGGTGAGACACACAGTCTAAAGATTTTAGTAAACTATTAAGAAGATAATATATTGTATGGCAACTCTTTAACTTTCTACAAGCCTTTTGAGAATCTCAAAAAATGAATTCTATACCGAGAAAAATACATGCATAAACTTCTGCCTATAATTTCAAGGGATTCAGACCCCATGAAGACTGCCCTTGGGCCCCTAGTTATGAATCCTAGGAGTGGAAGGCTCTATGAATGGAGATTAGGCTTCTCAGGAGATTAGATTTCTATTTCTAGTCCACCCTGCCATCTTGTTACCCTAATCCCATCACTTTCCCTCTATGGATCTCAGTTTCCTCATTTGATAAAGATGATCTTTACAGACTCTTTATGATCAAAAGTCTAGTAAAGTCTACTAACATCAGAGCAAGACTGAGAAGGGTTAGTATAATCATGTCCTTATTTTTTAAACTGCTAATTACAGCTCAAAGCATTTTCTTCTAGGCTTCAAACAATAAGAGGCTAGAAGAGTCCAAGTTAAGGGCAAGATATGCAGTAGACTCTCCTACTGAGAATCCTCTACTGGGAGATTTCTCAAGTTGGCTTTCCCTTACCTATTTCCCTTTTTCAAAAGGAGGTAAGAGGCTTACCCACATGTAATAGAGGCAGTGCTTTAAAACGAGCCAAAAAAGTTCTCCAAGAACAAATACACTCTAGTTTCCTTAAAGCTGTGCTGCAATAACAGTCTTGTGACATGCCCTCCAAGCATATAATGAAGCTGTTGTAATCACTTTACTTCCCCATTTGGATGGTAATCCTTAACCAACTGTGCTTCCTAGTAAAAACTCTTGAGTTATACAACCAAATTAGAGGAACTGCATTTGAACTTCACAACAGTTATATGAGTTAATTGCTTAAACTTCTGGAATAAGGCCTGTCTTCCTGAGGCCATGAGGTAAGCAGCAGAACAAATTCAATTACTGGCCAGATGGGAAGTAGGAAGGACTGGAACATATCACTCTCTGGAATACTGTCATAGGAGAGCTCAGGTATCCAAAGCTCATTTGAGATGAGAGTGTCCCTCCTACCACCATTGTATCTACAGCACCCATCAGAAAGGTTTCTGCAAAGAACCCTCTGTCTGACTTAACTGGGAAAGTTATAAGCTTGGCAGGTGCAGCAAGAGAAAATGGTGTACATAACTGCAGGTAGCACTACATTCTGGGATCTTGTCTTGGCCCTTTATACTGCCACCACTCATATGCAACTACACCCACATCCACACACAATGTAAAAACTAAAATGTAACTAAATTAAAGCTACCACGGGCAAAACATTCCAGAATCTGGAAAGACCGATTCAATGTACAAGAGTCCCTCAAATGCTGAAGAACACAGATTCGATGGAGTTTGTATTTGTTCAGAATATGGGTGGAAAAGATGATAACAATGGGCCATAAAACTAATAAAAAATATACTGAACAAGAGAAATTATACTTTAAGCTTTTACCTTTTATAAGTATTCCAATGAGAAATATTGGCTGCTGCAATCCATTTATTTCTCTATATAAGAAAAAAAGAATTCTCCAAATGCTCTAACAATCTTGGTTCCTCCAAAGGATTCTTTAGAGTCAGAGTGTACAACAATTGGGCTCAAAGACACACAGACAGGGTTTCCTACTGCCCAGTTTCCATGATACCTCAGTTGCTTTTTACTGCTACTCTCAGGAAAGAGAAACTGACAAACCTGTCTTGAAACAGTACTGTCTGGTGGGATTTAATATCAATTTCAAGAGTTCTCTAAAGATGAAAGTCTTAGAGAGTCCTTCTACTTCCAAGTATGGCAAAATCTAATTGCTCTTGATTTTATTCATAAAAGTCACAATCAAGCCAAAACACAATGATTCAGCATATTTTACATATTTTACGTATACAGTGTATTGTACTAAAGTATTGGTTTCTAATTAACTCTTTCAAGTCTTAAAGATATACCAAAAAAAAAAAAAAAATGTATAGCATAGAAAAATGGTTTCCTTTTATACTAAACTGGGATACACTGGGTATGTTGGTAATGTTATGGTACCCGGGAAAGCAGACTTATTCAGAGTAAAATACAAGCAGCATGAAGCAGCGCTGGCAGGCAGGCAGGCAGAGAGAGAAAATGGTGACACAACTTACGTTTGTCTCTCTGAAGCAATGAAGTGGTTAGCAGGAGCAAGCTTGCAAACCTCCAGCAGACGACAAGGTACAGAGCTGAGGTTTTAGTCTGTGGCAAACCCACACAAAGCAGTAAAGTGGGCGGTACTACTATGAATCAGGAGGTGGGGCCAGTGGTGAGAAGAAGGAAATAGGGAGAATGAGCACTTACTCAGTAAGAAGCTGGTGCAGCTTGTGGTAACCCCGCTCCAAAGCCAAGCTCACAGGCGTTGCCCCTTCCTGGTTGTGGATGCTAAGAGCTCCACGGCCACCTGGCTTCTGCAACAGGAACCATGTCAACCTTAGCAGACCCAACCGTACAGCAAAATGCATCAAAGTCTCTCGTGGGCCACCATCTGTAGATGGAGGAGAAAATGGAAATGAGAAGAATGCAAAAACAAAAAGCAAAACAGACAAATTAGGTAGGCACTCTTGCCACCAGAGGCGTTTACCTAGGATCCTGAAGTTAAGTCACAGTATACCACGTGAACAATTTTATTGTGGCCGGGTAGAACTGGCTCTTAAGTAAAGAGAAAACAAAGCTAGAAAAAGTACGGGAAGCAATTCTCCAATTGGAGACATATTTATATTCGGATTTAATGCATTTGTTCAACCAATTTATGTAAGTAGGTTTATAAGGGTGAACCCACACACATTCTTTTCTTCTTTTCCTTTTAAAAAAAAAAAAAAAAAGCATCACCACAACCTGTGGACTCAAGGGGAATAGTTGTTGGGGCTTAAATGGGCATATCATAAAGGGTATAATTACTTTAAAAGAGGACACCCAGACAGGAATTGGCAAGTTCAACACTAAAAACAGGTTCTACTTAAGAACACACAGGTCTCTTCCCCGCACTCCCCACCCTCCCATTAAGAACAAATCAAATTGCTGGCACTGCCAGCTTTTTTGTTTGTTTGCTTTAATGAGAGAAAGAAATGCATCTCCAGGCATAATAAGAAAGAATAACTCTTAAGGTATAATATACTGATAACTTCAGAAAGAGAAATATGTGTTTGGGCTTTCTTCACTTGATGCATACATTTCTACTTAGAGGCTCCTAAGTACAGAGGCCACTTTCAGGTGGTAGAATGAGGAAGGGCTTTGGAGGCAAACAAATCTGAGTTCAAATTTGACGTTTACCATCTGTGTGACCAGGGATGATTTCATTTAATCTCTCTGAACTTCACTCTCTTCATCCCTAGAGTGGGTGAGATACTATCACCTAGCTCACATGGTATTTTAAGAGATAAGAGGAGGCAAGTGAAATGCAAGTACAACGACTGGCAGGTAGCAGGTACTCATTAAATGCCATCTCCCTTCCCTTTCCCTGCTCTCTTCCCTGTCATCTTGGACTTCATATTATATTCCAGGTTCACCAGCACCACTCTTCCTTTTTCCTCAGGCATCTTCTTGTGCTCCAACCTGTGACGGAAGGAGCTAAAGCTCTGAACCACAATTAAGCAGTTGGTGGAGAGAAAAGGGTACAATGGGGACATAGCTGTGGCCACCACACGGCCATGGTATACAGCCCCACAAGGCCGTGCAGTACTCCACTCTAGGGAGCACCACTCACAGAGCCTCTGATATAAATGGTGCCCCCTGGCGTTGTGTCAGCCTTCTTCCTCTCAGCTGAACAGCTCTCGCCTTCTTCACTGAGCAGGCCTGGACCTCAGTATTTTCTCCTTACTCTGGAGTGCTCAGATGCCTCTGAATGTGAATATATAATAGGAATGAACAGATCTTTGAACTTATGATTTTACACTGAACTGCACTGTTTTCCAACGTCACATATGTATTAGTCTAGTCTACCTACTGCTAAGGTAAATTTCCCTTAGAAGCAAAAGCTATCTTTCCTATTTTACATGTTTCCTATAGAACTATGCACACTGGTCAACCCAGGACTGGTTAATACCCTTCCCCCAATCTTACTCTCAGGTCTCTAACAGCAGGTACCCTATCTGCTTTTTGGTAGTCCCCATTCTGCAGACAACAGATGAGAAGAAAAGTACATGTCATGCACTGGGCTAGGTATTTATATCATTTTTTTTCATTCTATCCTCAAAACCATCCTAGGAGGTTTAGTTATCCTCATTTTGCAGATGAAGAAAGAGAGTTTGATAGTGTTAATAACTTGCACAGCAAGAATCAGGAGTTGAAAATAGTTTTGTCTTGAGTCTAACATCCATATCCTTTCCATTACTTCACCCTACTTCTTTTCGTAAAAATCAAGCAACCATGCAAGCAAGCTAAAGTTGTGGTTTAAAAAAGCACATTTTCAGGAGTTTCTTCCTGACATTTTATTATTAACACTTTCAAATACCCACAAAAGTTAAAAGAATTTTACTAGATACTCATCAACTTAGATTCTACAGTTAATGTTTTTCTGTATTTGCTTTATCACATTTCTAGTCAACTATCCTTCCCTCTATCCATCAATTCATCTGACTTTCATGCATTTCAAAGTAAGCTGAACACTTACTGAACACTTCAGCATGCATCTCATTAACTAGAGTTCAAAATATGGTTACGATTTTAGGTAATTTACATACAGTAAAACACAAACGGTACAACGTACCATTTGACAAATTTTTACAAATGCATATACCTGTGTAACCTAAACGTCTATCAAAATACAGAGCATTACCAACATCAAAGAATGCTCCTTTGTGCCCCTTCTCAGTGAATCCCCCCTCCCACTTATAGTCAACCACTGTTCTTAATTTCTTCACCAGAGATTAGTTCTGCCTGTTCTAGAACTTCACATAAATGAAACCATACAATACATACTCTTGTGTATGGCTTCTTTCACTCAGCATAATGTCTAAGATTCATCCATGCTGTTGTGTATCACAGTAGTTCATTTCTTTTTATTGCAGTGCACTGTATGAATACACCCTAGTTTGTTTAGAGATATTCCCCTGTTCATTTTTCACACATTTTTATTTGATCTTCCTCTGTATGCTGAGAGTTACTCAACTTTGTTTTTCATATCACTAACTGCATTTTTCTACAATGTCAATTGGTCCTTTGTCCCCAGTTTGTTACGCTATGGGATTTTGGAGGTTTTCCAGCTTTGTCCTCACTGTGATGGCTTTTCTGCAGATGCAATTAAAGTCTCCAATCAGTGGATTTGATAAGGGAGATGATCCTGGATAATATGGATGGGCCGGACTAAATCAGTTGGAAGGATTTAAAAGCAGAGCTGAGGTTTGCCCTGGAGAGAGAATACACTTCTCCTGTGGAGGACAGCTTCAGTCTGCGCCTGTGGAGCTCCATTCGGCTAGGGATCTTCCCTTCCTGATTGCCTGAGGATGACAGATTTGGCCCATGCCCATAGAACTGAGCTTGCCCATGGTTTTGTCCTTCCTTCCTGCCCTGTAATTTCAGACTTGCTTAGCCAGCTCCCACAATCACTTAAGCCATTCCTTGTAATAAACCTTAATACGTATTTCTCCGACTAGTTCTGCTTTTCTGGTTGAACCCTGATCTATTAAACTTATTCTCTTCTTGTTGCTTCTTTCTCTAATTTTATAATGTCTGCCTTCTTAGGTCTATTAAAGGACAAAGTGAAAAGATCGTCTAATTTTTCCTTTGTTCTTAAAAGAAAATCGTTATCAGAGAGTCTTCCATCTAAATACCACACTTTTCCCTTTCCGTTACACTGTAATGTTATTTCATAGGCCCCATGTTGGTTTGTTTATTTATTTCCCTGGTTAGCCATACCCAATTAGAAAGATCTCTATGCAGGCCCAGCTCTTCCCCACAGAGAAGGTGAACTGAAAATATATACTGGAAGCACGTCCCAGACATTCACTTAGATCTGCAGAGGTGGTTGCTGTGCCTAGTAGGCATTCAACCATGATGAGAAGGCTAAAAGGTTGCATCTTTTTTAAATTATCAGATTCTGTAAGCAAAACTTTCTAAGTTCTATGAATAGTACAGTTCAAATACTAAATGTACTTTCTGATTCCATCAATCTACCAGCATGCCCTGCTCACAGGACTCTTTGAATCTATGTCTACGGGACTTCACAGTCACCATTCTTTCCATTATCCTGTACTGCCTCTTATATAAACCTGAAGTCTCACATGATTCAGGATTTCTCACACCACATGAGGAAGAAAAACATTCTTAACAGGCTAGTGTAAGAAAACGGGCTTTTGCAAACACAAGACCTGTACCTTGTGACAGAATCAAGATGTGAGAGGCAACAAAACCTTTTGGAGCTAAAGCCCTGCCATTACTAGGCACTGCTTGTCTTGGAGTCTATATTAATCCTCTGACAAGGAAAAAAGTTCATTAGTAGTCTTTTTATATTTTATCATTTTCTTTTTAGCAGCTATGATAGTTGAGAAATCACAAATACTAGTGCAGCTAAGGAAACAGTTCCGTGGAAAATTATCAAATACTCTGGAAGGAGTGGGGGAACTAAAAGACCAGGTGATTAAGAATGAGGATTTATCAACCAACATCAGATATACAGGCTTGGGAGTGCACAGGCTATTCTCGAGGTGCCCTTTCTTTAAACTGCCTGACCCTTCTCTCCACCCAAATTTCTCTCTGTGGGCAGGATTCCCACCCCTAAAGATGATCAGATCTTCTTTTCACTTATACAATACCATGACAAAATAAGAATGAAGATCTCCCCCAGCATAGTTCTCCTTCTTGCTTTCTTCAGAGCAAGCCTTCAGTGGGCCCACTCTCTAAATTACCTCATGCTGACTGCTACTGTGCATGTGTCTCTCAGGGGAAAAGTGTCCTAATTCACCATATTCACTAACCACTCAGGCGCTGATGAGCTGGACCAAGGAACTAAGTGAGATTTGGTAACTTGGAGAGGGAAGACATCCTTGCCCCACCATTTACTCCCCGCTCCCTCCTGATGAATCCTTACCACTTACATTTAAGACACAACTATAGCAAAATCTACTGAGTAGAGGCCTCTTTATGTAACTAGGGATTAAAGAACACTTGGAGAACTAAAATTGACAAATTCTCTCTTATTCATGTACAAAGGGAGGATTAACTTTAGAAACATTTAAAAGCAAAAGAAATAGTCTCATTCTGCTTTGAAGAGCCTTTCCTTGTAGTGCTGTCCTATTTTATCCTTTCATAAGACATGTTACCTTCCCTCGTCATACTTCATCAATGTTCTGTGTCTCTAAAAGGTCACTGGCTACGGTCATCGTATATTCAAAATGAACAGCTTGCCAATGGCACACACTTCAAAAAGTACTTTCTCCAGACTTCTTGAGGTGGAACTGTCACGTAAATCAAACACAGACATTCTATCCTAGTAACAATCACCATACAAATCTACCCAGTACCTCTGTTTATAAGGTGTCTTCACATAAA